CCTGCAACTTCCAACAATAGCCCTTCACACTCATACTTTCAAGTATTATAAACAAATTCCTTAATGGGGGGGGAGGGGAGGGGGGAGCAGCAGAAAGCAAGCAAGCAAAACAAACAAAACCAAACCCCCCCCCAATGACATATCTGCCTCTGGCTTATGTTCTGCATCAACAAAAAGAATAGAGCATACGGTATTGCTGTTTTAGACAAGTAGCTGCAGGTGAAGTTGAGACAGCTGTCTGACACTGCTTTCCAGTTCTCATACACAGCTCCTGAAAAATTCTAGCCGTCATTTAAAATGTGTGCTAACAGCTACACAAAGATACCTGCTGTGTATTGCCCAGAAAAAAAAAAAAAAAAAAAAAAAAAAAAAGAGATCCAGATTCTAGGAACAGATTTGTAAACAGCTTTGAACAGAGTGAAACATGCTAAAAATATTCCTGTCACCTTGGGGGGGAGGGGGGGGGGAGATTCCTAAATCAATACACACAAACTGGAAGTTTGGAAAAAGAAAGTAATATTTTTCTCTAAATAGAGAGATGGGCATGTTAGCCATAGACTCTAGCAGAGTAAAGACAAGTGAAGTAGTCTAAAAAGACCTGAACATTAAACAAATTGCAGTGAATACATTACTTCTCAAAGTTGTCAGCTAGAAAATGTCAGGCTCCAGAGCCGTCCGTCTCAAGACAAGAAATAGAAGCACCAATGCAATCTTTTCTGAGGCACCTAAACCAGTGTTAAAGGAGTTGGCATTCAGGCCTTGTCTAGCATGGCAAAAAGTTCCAAAAATTCATGTGAAACCACTGTCAAAACAGGTGTAGTTGACAGGACTTCAAAGGGTTGAAGTCTCAGTCAACCTCACGCAAAGCAAGTTTAAGCTTCCTTTGATGAGAGTACACCCGGGGCATAGTCTTTCCTTGGCCCCTCCATCATGCTTCCTGGACAGTTACCCCTTTGTGAAAACTGGAATATTTATAAACCAAGTGTCCCACATCCCGAGAGCCAGGGATTGCCTCTCTATAAACCTTATTGCTTATGTACCCCTCCCACTGAACTTCAGCCATACAGCCAGTGGTTTACAGTTCACTTTTGCAGGGATGAAATAGGTTAAAGCAGGTGACACTCACTCTATACAGGAAATGCAAAGATTTTCTAGACAAGGAAAGGGAGATTAAATAAATAAATAAATAAATAAATTGGGAACTCCATGGGATTTGTTCAAAGACTTTTAGGTAGCGTAGGATTATCCCATTTCCTTGTGTGCAGCCTTACTTTTTGCTTGTGGTCTCTCTACATTTGGAAGTGGTTGGTTGCACCCTTTCTGATCAGCCCAAACTGGCCCTTTCCTTTATTACCAAGCCATATGGGCAAACTGGTTCTTCTGGTCTGGCTACCGTCTTTCAAATGTACTTCTATTCGAATAGGAGACTACGTTTTAAAAAGGACTTTCATTTTTAGTCTGTGTCACCATTACATGGAGTTTCAATCCCTACTTTGTTAATGACATTTAGCATTTACTTTGGAGACTGTATCCATTTCTCAGATATGATCACCGGGTTTCCTTAGGAGAACTCGAGTTCTTCTGCAACAGGACTCAGAAGAGGGGTTTTTAAGAGGATCCCTCACTGTCTCACACAGCAGCAAGCTATATATTTAAGGAAAATGGAAATCTACAAGCTAATTCATAAGAGGTATTCCCAGTAAGGAGCTAAATTGGAATCTTTCTGAAACAGACATACGTGCTGGAAGCAGAGTGAGAATGCCACCTGTTTATAAAGTTACATTATATAAAAAAGACTGGATACCTTCATTATGTGATTTTTATTTGAGACTCACATTGTAAAAAAGTTCACATGGAATAATAAAACCTTTTTGGGGTTTTTTTGTCTTTTTTTTTTTTTTAAACACAGTATCAGTACACAATTAATGATTAGATTTACAAGTTAAACACATGACAATTCCACTTTATCTGCAGGAGCTTTTCACATTATACCTTTGGAGCAGAGATAAAATGTGTTTAAATTAAAACAAACATGGTAGAACAATTCTATTTGAAAAATTAAGCATTTTCTTAGGGCCGTGCTTTTTAGATGGACTTTAGTAACTATATTGCATTAAAATAATTGTAATCCCAAGTAAAAGTGTCATTTGCAAAAAAAAGTAAGGCCATAGGAATGCACTAAAATATTTAAATTCACTGGAAACAAAAAAGCTGAAAATCCTGACTGACAGGTTGAAATGCAAGTTACACTTAAAATATTGGATGTTGCACAAGCAGCTGAGGAAATGGAGGAGCAGAGTTAATACCTACAGCTAGTCCTTAAACTTTAACCACGCAAGCATCAATTGCATAAATCAGATGCCAATGCATTTCCAGAATTAATACATTATGCATTTTATATACCATCTATATATATCCTTCAAGTAGTTAGCCAGGAAGAATTCCTTACTGAGCATGTATTCAGCTCCTCCCACTTTTTTTTTTTTTTTTTTGCTTGTGAAAGATAATTTGGTTTACCCAACATAGAGACTAAAGGAGGAAATGCACTTGCAACAGTAAATCTGCCTTTTGTAAAAAACCTAGACCTTTCAAATCTTAACATGTACTTAGAAACCCCCACATTTAAAAGGTGAATTATGTTTCACATGTGGTTCTGAAATTAACTTCAAGAAATTTAATAACTACTCAACAAAAGCTAAGCAGTTTGTTCATGGTTTGCTGATCACAGGACTGAAAGCTAGAGTTGAGAAGCATTGAGTCTATAGTTTAAGTTCCACTTATTTAAAAAAGTGAACATACTGTGCACAGACCTTGATGGGGGAAGGAGTGGAAAACCCTGACAGATGTATATTTAATTCCTAACACAATCCAGGAATTCCTGCTTCTTCTTAAAAGACCCAATGAAAGCCTTTAAAGCAAGATGATGCAAATTTGCTGTTTTGTAAAATCTCTAACAGTTGCATCACTTTTGTTCTAATGGTCATTAGAATACTAGCTAGCTGACTGAGGTATAGTTACGAGTCCTTCAAAAATAAGATTATATAGTCTTGAGCAAAGTTACAAAGACTGCACAAAACAATCATACTGATATTAGAAAAGCCTGCAGCACCCAGTAATTGATGCCCAGGCAGAACATACCATTTATCATTTATCTGCTTGCCTAAAGCAAAATATAGCTAAAAAAAAGTTCCCAGTGAAACATACATTTGATTTACATGCTAGTATACAGCACATTTTCCCTTGTCTGACAACTCAGACTATATGCAAAGGTCATCGACCATTAATCAAGAAATTAGCACACTGATAAAGTGCAGCCACTCAGCCACTTAATACTGCTGCAAAAAAGTATTTCACCTTATCCATAAGACCACAACGTTTTCACATAAGACTAGAATTATTCAGTTTCAGCAGGGAACAGACAAAGTTGTCACTAAATCCTTCTACAAATAGAAAAAGATGAACTTTATATGAACATTAAGTAAAGTGAAGTATTTACTGCATCATTTTATCATGCATAAAGTGAATTTCCTATGGTCTTACCTCAAATTTATGTACAGTTTAGCATAGCTAAATGTAAGAAAATAGCAAAGATTTTTTTTTTCTAATACAACAGAGCAGATACCCCAATTTGCTGCTGCTTCAAGAAGCACTTCAGACTCTTGCTTACAGGCTCTTTCAGAAGGAAGTTCATGGAGACAAATATTGCATGTACACAGAACCAAGCAGAAAGATGGCAGAAAAAAAAAAAAAAAAAAAAGAAAAGCATTCTGTAAAAGCTGCTAACAACAGAACATCAGTTTTGGTTTGCAGACAACCCTGAGATACAAATCAAAGTATTATGGACACCAAATTAAGTCAGAGGTAAATTTCTGAAAATTAACAACATTCATAATAGGTGTCATAACACTTGCTGCTTAGAAAACACTTAACATATAGAAAACTGGATTGCTTTAGCACATCCTTCTCCTCTCTATTCTCCCCCAAAAGTGCTAAGCATAGGCCACACAAGTTAGGGTTGCTTTTCTTGTTTTTTTATTGAGCTTTTCCTGCCACATCAAAAGAAGTGTTACAAAAAAACTAAAGGGCAGGAAAACCAGCAGATCAGAAGTCAAATCTAATTAGAAGACTACTTTTGACATGAAGTGGAGACTGGTGGAAAACCACTTAAATTCTGAGTGATCAAAGTGACCTTTATTGAAGTTTCTCAGGCTTATCCAGGATGCTAAAAGTCTTTTAGATTTAATACCTGTGGCCCATTAAATTAGTTTTAAAAATTGAGACCCAGAAAGGAAAATTTGACATGCAACACCCTAAATTGAAGCAGAGTTGTCTGTGATAACAACCAAGTCACTGTTTAACCACTCTTTACCATGACAAAAAAGCACATCAGAAAAGTCAGCGGTTTGCCAATGAGAATACATCTACCTTTTCTAACTGAAATGCTGGACACTCAAGTTTGTAGTTAAAGCTTACACTGATCCAAGTTTGGCACATCATCAGAAAAGACTTAAGCACCTATTTTATTTACTCATCAAGAGATAAGAAGTGGTAGAATAGCCTGGTTGCAGAATATTAGTTGGATGAGAAAGGCAACTAAATTTCAACTTGTTTCTAAAAGTCATAAAAAAACCCCGCACTATACTAATTTCTGCTGAACTTTTATAAGTGCCTAAGCAGAATGAAAAGGGCTTCACGCATTCAGTATGACCAGATATACAATCAGCCTTACTGTGTCACATTCCTTGCTGATAGCAGAAGCAACTATGCAAAAGGCCAATTTGTGTATGACTTTGCTGTTAAGGTTTTCAAGCATGAAAAGAATATCTTTAAATCACAGTGGGAAGTCACCGTTAAGTTTCATTTTACACACTGGAGAGTGGATTCCCAGAAAGGGGATATTTGAAAACCATTTTTTCAGCTACCAGAAGCCACTTAAGCGATATACAGGGAGCTCATCTGTGGTTATATTGAAGATTTTAAACCTAGGAGAGTGTATTCTCTCATCAGAAGCCAAAGCAAAACAAAGACAAATTTAGCGTACCCAAAAAAATTAAGACACCTGCATTCAATTTAGATATTTTTAAAAAGGTGCGTTCTGTGAAGGAGACAAGTGACTATGACAGTTTAGAATACAACATCCAAAGTTTGTTGAAAATAATTTTAAAAAGCAACATCCTGTATTTAGTATGTAGAAGCAGTAGCTTCTGTACGAACAGACTTGCGCATCTGTGAAACACAGACTGAATCAAGTGCCTAAATGCCAATTGGTTTAATAACCCCCATCACCTCATCCATAATGACAACAGGCATGTGCACATAGGAGTGTGTCATGGATACCTCCCTTTTTCTATTTACAAGAAATGTGTAAAAAAAAAAAAAGCACAAATCTGTTAAGAATTTTACTTATAAGACAAACTGTGCAAATAAGTGTAAGATTGTGCTATAACAGGCAAAAAAAGGCTAATATGGATGTGCAAAGTTAAAAGAAATTAGCAGCTTTTGCAACAGGCAATACAAACAGAACATAATGAAGAAAACAGAGAAACTCCTGCATTTGTGTCTCCACTTCACTGCTTCCACATTTGAGAAAGAGGAGCCTGGCAGGTCAATAGGCTTAATGAGCAAAATCCACTTGGTATTTTGTTTAGTGCAGTCTGCGTTCAATGGAGCTCTCAGCAGCAGCTTGGTGGTATTTTTTTTGAGGCTGTGACCCTGTGCTTTCAAAGAAGCAGAAAAGGTTCTAAGTGTGCTGCAGTCTATCATTAGAAGTTCATCAAAGTAGCGTGCATCGAAAGAAGCTGCTCTTCTTTGATCGATTTTCAGTTATTTTTACTGGTCCACCTGCGCCTGATGAACTACTGTCATTCTGAAAAAAAGCAATATGTAGTTAATAGCCATGCTATGAGGGGTGGCGGAGACATAATTTCAGTATCCTCACCTTTCCTAATTTTACCCACAAGGTAAATGATTGATTACTTTAATTAGAGGCAGTTTTACTAGAAATTAAGTTCTAATTGGGTCGGGGGGGGGGGAAGAAGAGAGAGAAGAGGAGGGGACAGTTCAAATTATCACATTTACCTAAAAATACTATTCTCAAGAACAAACAACTATGTAAGGGCTGCATCACAAAGCTTTATGAAGCATACAGCACTTTAAAGGATTTTGACTATCCACGTACAGCTATATGTACTGTTCAAAACAGAGAGCACAAAAGCACAGAATAATCCATGACAAGACAGTTATTTCAAAAAGGTGGCAAGGAGGTATCGGTGTTAAGACAAGCTGAGGGGTGTTTCGAGATCCACCCTTGGTGAATGGCTTAAAGATGTAAATGATTTGGTCAAATGCATCTAACAAATAAAACAGGCTGTGCCTAGCCTGAACCTCTCTCAGGCTTGCCAACTGTCTGTACATTTATGGAGTCAGTAAAAATTCAAGCTAAAAACTCCTGTCCATGGAAGTAAAACAACCCCCTCCCCCTCCCCCCAAGAAATACAAAACAAAACTGAGCCATCTGTAAAAACTAAGCAGTCAGAGCTGACTGAAGCTCCCTAGTCAGAAAGAAGCTAAGTGTAGTACAAGACAAGCAAGGTATGACAGCACCCTCTGGTGTCTTAAGAGGAAGCACAGAACCCTGCCAAGAGCATTCTCAGTGCTATGTAGACCCAATCACCCCAGGTATGTGCTGCTGCTGAGTCCTGTCAGCTGACTGTAACAGTGATGGAGCACAGGTAGGCTTTTTGGAGGATCCGTGCCAGAACATGGGGAGTAGGACTGACAAGAATAACTCTGGTGGGGGTGAGGCCCAGAGTACAGTTAAGACCATCGGAGTGTAAAACCATCAACTGCAGTCAAACAGGGTTACCAACACAAGATTTGTTTGTTTTGGTTTTTTTTTAAACTACATACTTTTTTTTTTTTTTTTTTTTAAATGGCTCGTATTAAATCCTAAATTTGAATTCAACCCTTCTAACTGGATCCTGTTCTTTATCCACCAATAACAATTTTCTTTGTCAACCCAATTGTTTATTAAAAGGACACTTGTACAAACATTTTGAAGCAGTAGTTAATAAAACTTAATTACTGTTCTGTGTTCCACTTGTAAACAGGGGCAACCAATTCCTATCAATTAAATGCAGGCTCCATCCCAACCCTCAAATTCAAGGCTCAATACAGCAAACTGCAGCCTCTGCTTTTAAGCCTACACAAGTTTAGTTTCACTATCTTATTGTCAGGTGCATATGGCTTTGCAAAACCTCTCTCAGGCTGAAGTAGGTACTCCTACTCCAAAAGGAAGAGGTGTTAGACACTGCAGTACAACACTGTCCAAGAAAAAAAATGCCGTTTTTTTAAAAACTAGCTCCATACTGCAGACATGTGGTGATAGGAGATAAGACTGCTTGATGCACATGTCCTAATTCTCAAAATAACTTAAAGGATTATTATGAAAGTTGGTCTGGACAACTACATGTTGTATTTAGTATAAACCTGCATTACAACTACAGTGGACAAACATGCTCAACTAGAAAGGCTGTGTGGAATGCATCTAAAGCCAAACCAGCTATTCAGTTTAGAGCTTTCTGAAGGTGACACTATGGTGAAGTAAGATTCATAGGAATCCTTAATTTAGCCTGTAGAATTTGTAGAACATAAGAGTAGCCACAAGCTATGAAGCACAAGTGGGCAGAAGCCAGTTTTCTGTTCCTAAAACCTAACAGGAAGTCTGATAAAGACAGCTGGAATGTGCGCCTACAAAAGTGGATTTTACTGCAGCTCTAATAGGTCTCTAAAAATGAACCATGATAGGAGTAACACCTACCAAACTCTGTGCTCACACATTTATGCAAAAACTGATACATTCAGCTACTTGCAGTTGCATGCAAGGTTAATTCTAAGTCTGAACCTCAAAAAGCTTTGCAGTACTATGGATCACAAAACATTTTGTTTTTACATAACGTTTAGAGGTACAAACCATTTTTCTGTTGAGCTTTGTCATAATATCCCGTGCAAGCGTAAAGAATGCCTGAAACCAAATAAAAGGTTACATTCACTATAAGGTGTCACTCACTCCTCATAAAACACTTCAAGTACCAATTAACTAGAAAATAATGCATTTAAAATTAGAAGTATTTTGTCTTATTGTAATATGAATATTTAGTAACCAAAAAACATTTAAAAATCGGCATTCCCCCATCCTTCTGCTGGCATTGGGCAGACTTCATCTCATCCATCTGTACAAGACATTCAGAAGTAGCCTGTAAACTTAGTTTTAGGAGAGAAAGCACTATTTTGTTGCAGCACAACCCAGGGGCTTGTTACACTAGACCACAGTCAAAGATATGGCTTGTGGACCATACCCAGCCTGTGGAGTCCCAACATCTGGCCCCCAGTGCTGATGAGTTTGACACCCTGTACTAGACCATGTGTAAACATTGCATGGGGTCACTGTTCCAAAGCTCTTGCAACTGAGGTGGCTAGACACTGTTACTATGCAGCTATTAGTTATTAGTAACAGACTAATTCTTCACTGTGACTAAGAGTCAGTCTTCACTGTTAAGTCACTGTGAACACCTGCTTAAAGTGTCCCACATTACCAGAAGACATGTGATGTGTTATGCTGGATCCTACAACAATTAAATTAGAATTAAATTGGCAGCACAGGAGGGGAGAGGAGTATAGGTGTAAGTACAAAGGTATGCATCAGGTCAAGCCCAGGACTCAAATATTATACAACACGATTACTTTGCAACAGTAATTTTGAAGTTAGAGACTCGTAAATAGGATGCCAATATCTCTTACCTCTTCCACATTTATGCTGGATTTTGCACTTGTCTCCAAAAATTTGATTCCATAATCAATTGCTAACTGGAAGACATATGTGAACAGGTTTTCAATATTTGTAAGTAAAAACTGCAATGTGACTAAGTATCTTAGGTAAATTAATGGAGCAGTGGCAGTCACTCCATTAACATGACAGCCAAGGTCTTGGGCTTTAGACACCAAACCAAAAAATCTGCCAAGAAAGCACACATATGTACCCCCACAGAAGGTAAACATTCCTGAATAGCTGTGTAACATTTAATGAAAAACAACCCACAGCATGGCACAGAAATTCAAACAACTGCTACTTAAAAACCAACCATATAAACATTAATTCAGTATTACTCAGACAGTAAAGTAGCAAGTTACACAGCGCTCTTGAATTGAAATCCTGCAGTTCCTACAGTCATGAATAATACAAAACACATGTGCTATCTTTTACTATCACTGTAACCAACGTACCATAGTTCTATTTTCAACTGGAGCATGTGTCACAATTTAGCTCGTTAGGCCAAAGATTGAGCCTAAGCCCATGGTAATATCCTTCAGCCCCTGAGTAGGTCAGAAGGTGAACCTTGTCTGACCTATTGTCTGCAGAACACCTAAAGGACTCTGATGAGAGTGCCCAGTGCAAAAGAAGTACCGTGTGCAGAGCCCAAGGGAACTGTGAGCACCTTTATTACATAAGGGTACGTTTGGACAGGGCTCAGCATGAGTGGGTCTGTCTACTGCGAGAGTGACACTGGGCAAGGGCAAGCAGGAGCGTGGGCCTGTTAGTGTGTGTTTGGAGACAGACAAAGTGGAAGAAGTCTTGTGGTGTGTTGGTGCATTGGTGTGGGTGATCACTGTGTGGTGTTGCACATTAGCCCACACTGTGACCACAGAGGTTCAGCGGGCAGAGCATACCCTCGACAGTGAGGCCGCTGTAGAATTGGCTATCATCCCCAGCGAACGGTGACTCCTAAGGCTCCATTTGCTCCCACCACTGTTCATCTCCTGTGAGAGTGGCCAGGACTGGTTACCAAGATATGCATTGCACTTAAGCAGCAGCCCTCATCCGCCATTCTCCCCCTCCTCCCTTTTCTAAAAGCTGGAGGTAAGCCGCAAACATATAGTTCTGGGCGTGATCCAACACATGTTGCGATCTAAGGCAGCAGATATCCTGTGTTTAATAAAGTTTTACTCTTGGTGTAATAAAGGTTATCAGGTTTTCCAGTAAAGGTTAATACTTGTTAAAGTTGTTATTTGCATTGCCTGTGCTTAATTGTTACTTGCCTGTTTTAATTAAAAACTGTTGGATTCGTGAACTTTAATTCTGTTTGGGATCTCCTTAGTTAGTCAAAGTATAAATCAATTGCCAGGTCGTCAGAGCAGCACAGATACACTCAGGCAGCTTGCTAACCAGGTGGGTGCAAAAAAAAAAAAATCTCACCTCATTTGGAACTGGACTAGGAGATAGCCGTTAATTGGGCAGTGCTAACTAGGCACCAATAAAGTCCAGGTCCAAGAAGCCTGGAGTGGAGTAGATTTAGTTTGCCAAAGAACTACATGTGGTTCCCAAGTCTGACAACTGAGTATCACTGCCTTAACACTATTCACCCAAAGCAGAACCCCTAAGTAGATCAAGGCAAAGTAGAACAGCATACAGCATTTACAGGCAATTATACTTTATCTGACCAACTATTCCCCCTGCCAATATCATTGACAGTCAACCATAACACTTCAATTGCATTCACAGTGTTTTAATATATGCAACTAAAATCTTACCATTAAGGAACAGCCAAGGTAATTACTTCAACCTTAGTGAGGCCAATTAAAACCAAGACTCCCTATTACAAGGACAGGAATAATTCAGAGTATGCTCCAATAATACATTTAGGAGGATGACTTAATTCTTCCACCCACAGGTGTTAAAACTCGTTCCCAACATTGTTTAGATTATCTTGCTCTAGACAATATTCAGGCTGAAATGATTTCAATGTAAGTACCACAAAAAGCTTGAGATCCTATCATGTTTCAAAATATGGAAGTTTAAAGAATAATATTTTTCAGGTTGCTGGAAAGCAAAGAAACAGAAAGAATTCAGGACCAGTAGTAAGATTTATCCCTAACCCCCACCAAAGCCACAACCAAATTTTACCTTCTCTCCTTTTTCTTTTGAGACTTGTCTCTTCTCATTCATATCACATTTGTTACCCAGGATCATTCTTTCTACATCTGAAGATGCATGCTGAAGGAAAAAATAAGCTCTTGTAAACATAGCACAATTGCTAAAAACCCACATAAATGCTTTACTTGTCAGAAATGACCATATTTACTCAAATCCAAGATGAAATGCCATGTCTCCTCTCCCTCCCCTGCCCCTTAGCAGGGGTGTGGAGGGGCACACGGCAGGAAAACCCCCATCCTGGATTTAAGTGCAAACCTCCCCTGCACTTCCTCTTCTGCTATAACCCCTCCAGCCCTGGCCCTGCCTGGCTAGAAGCTGCCACTACTTCTCCCAGGCTGGGCCAAGACCACACTGTGGGCTGGGGCTGTGCCGCTACTGGCTGCTCTAGAGATGGAGGAACAGAACTGCAACAGAAGACAAGACAAGAGGGGGTGAGCAGAAGGGGATGGGGGGCAGGCACAGGTGAAGGCAAAACAAAGAGCAGGGATCTGGCCCCTCACCCACTCCTGTTGCTTTCCCTGCCACAGCAAGGTGGGGAAGGGGGCAATGAATTTAATAAGTTTAGATTCTATATAGAAAATAATAATTATTGTGGAGTAGTTTTAAGTCATCTTGGATTTGGATAAATATGGTATTCTATATATTACTGTTTCATTTTAAGTAAATGTTCTAATCTAATGTCATTACTAGGAAAAGAAAAGTTTCTGAAAAAAAGATTCATCCAAGACTCTTTAATTTTAAGTGCTTAGGGCACCAACATTTGTAGGACATGCAAGTTTTCCTAGTTTGATTTGTTTATCAGCCTCCAGAACGGCCACAGGTTGTCCAATGAGTCAACAGGTAGAACAAAGATCCAAAGTTGTAAACTTTACTAGTCCTGGGTTGCTAATGACAAGTCTGATGTAATATCAGCAGAAGCTTGACCCTTTATAACCCAAAGCAAAAAGGAACAGCAATGGAAATTAAATTTGAAGCAACCAATTCCAAAATCATTTAAATACCTGCTTTCAAATTAAACTTTCATGTCTAGACTTCTAGTTTACCCTGAGCTGGAAAGGCAGACAAACTAGCTTCTGTAAAGACTACTGTTCTGGTCAGTGCTCAGTTTCAGGTGGCCACACAAGTTGTACTACTTTTAAGAAAGATTGCTTTAAAGCTAATTATCTATAAACTATTGAGAGATCCAATGCCACCCCCAGAACACACCTACCTCTTCAATGTTTCTTATCCAGTTTTTAATGTTGTCAAAAGATTTCTCATTTGTGATGTCATACACCAGCATAATTCCCTAAGGAAAAAAAGCCAATTAGCAAAGCTAACCTTTATCGGTTTGATTAAATTGCTAAACATCCAATAAGCCACATACGCTCTTGTGTGCTTTCTGAAAGTTTCACATGAAGATCTTTTTCAGTTCAAAAGTGTATAGGAATATCTATAGTTATACCACTTCTATTATCACCTAGCGCTTTAACAGAATAAATAACTACATATTAATAAACATGTAACAGATTAAACCAGGGGTGGGCAAAATGCAGCCCACAGGCCAGATGAGGCCCACCAGGCCATTCTATCTGCTTGGAGGGCCCCCCCAAAATTTAGAAAATTAATATTTATCTGCCCCTGGCTGCCTGTCATGCAACCCTCGATGGCTTGCCAAAACTCAGTAAGCAGCCCTCTGCCTGAAATAATTGCCTGCCCCTGGGTTAAACCATAGTCAATAAGAGTTTATAGGATCATAGGAAAAGTAGGGCTGGAAGTGACCTCATGAGGTCATTTAGTATTAAAATGTTTTGCTATTAGAACAACAGCCAGCAATCTGTCTTTCTAGAATAAAACTGAATATTGGGCTAAGCAGGCTATTTTTCGAACAAATACTTCAGTGCACACAATGCAATACAGAATAAACAACAGCCCTGTAAGATTTCACTTGTCTGGGACAAATGAGGTTTTACAACAAATGATGCTAAATGTTTCCCAGGCAACTTCTGCTGTTCTGCAAAGATGTTCGTGTACATGCTGTTCCGCATGTATGCACATGCACATTCACAACAACATAATAGCAGCTCACACCTAATCCTTTTCCAGCCCCTAAAGTCGGCTTGAAAGATTTTTTTAAACTATCACTATTCCCCCTCTTCCCCAAAGAGCCACCTATATTCCCAAGGCTATGAATTCATTTGGCTACATTTCTGCTATGGATAGGTAGCAAAGTTGAATACAGCAAGAATTAGCTGTGCATTCTAAGTGATAACAAGTAGTTAGAAGTAGTTATCTAATAGACAATTTGAAGTTAACCAAAGCACAACCACCTCAAATTTCCAAATCTTGCCATCGTGATCAATGTAAGTAGCTTTAGCAATCAATACCCGTCTGTAAGGAACTGTTTAGAATCAGAAAGCAGACTACAGGTACAGAAACTTGAAGGTTACACCAATGTAATTTACATCATTTTTGCATACCAAGGTAAGTTACAGCAGGAAGCAAAGTAGACAGACAACCAGCTTGTCCTGGTGGCAGAGGGCAAGCTGCTATTACAGCAATGCACCACTAGATGGTGGGGGAGCAGGTACAAAACTAAAAGATGCACACAATAGTCCAGGGGCAGGCAATTTCAGCTGGAGGGCAAATTAGAGTTTTGGTAAGCTGTCAAGGGCCACACAGAATCTTTCAGAAGTTATCATTTTAACAAGTTATAGATAAAAATAGATATACTTAAAAAAAAAATCAAACATGTAGTGTTACAGGGGTGTGTAGGTTGTAGCCACGTTGGTCTAAGGACATAGGCAGACAAGGTTCTTTGTGTGAATCTGATATCTTTTATTAGACCAACTTAAATAGTTGGAAAACAATTATTAAGCAAGCTTTCAGGTTCAAAAAACCCTTCGTCAGGCTAAGGAAGTTTCAGCAGTTGGTGTGTGCTCTTCCTGGATGGAATGAAAAGTAAAGCAGCCAGAGGCTGGGCTGGTATGCATACAAGACAGGGAGTCAGTGAAAATGTAGACTGAGGAGTCAATGGGTGAGAGACAGGCGGGGGGGGTGGGTGAGAGAAGGGGGGATGAGTAGTGGAGAGATACCCAGGTAGAAGGTAGAAGACAGCCAGGAGTAGGAGCTAGAGCCCCACACAATGGGACAGGTCTGGACTACCTGTCTTGTATGCATACCAGACCAGCCTCTGGCTGCAGTAGTTGTTGAAATGGACTAGACTTGGAACACCCCACCCTCCCCAAAGCATGACTTCAGCTGCTTTGCTACAGGGTTAAAAACAACAGTAGAGTGTGGCCTATATCTGCATAGGGCTATATATCATGTGTCTATAATTCTCTCTTTTACACCATTGTAAAATACAAGCTACATTTGTGCAAGTGTGTCTGTACCCTAACAGAGGCAGCTTATACATCACATCCTGTTTGGGTTTAGCTGCCAAATTCTCAGCCTGATGAAGGTGGTAAAAGGCAGCAAGCACAGAGATTTAATTAAACCTACTGAATAGCTCCAACTGTAGGTCAAGTCTGAATACAGATACACCCCCCTCTTCCACAAACAGCTTCCCCCACCCCCCAATACAATAACTACAGAGACCATGACCTGAACTGCTAATGCCATTACAAAACCCCAGAGTAAAGAATCCAAACAATTAAGTGCACCACAAAATACTGAAATAAAACTGCACAGAAAACTGATTTAGTACTTACTGCATGCAGAAAAGTATTGCAAGTATAAAAGTCAAGACTGTAGGGGGCTTGATTATAGGTCAACCTCATGTATAAAGTAAAGTGCGATTGCTATGGTTAGTTGGAGCTAAAAGAGGTAGCCTTATTCAGAATAGACTACTTTTAATGTTAACAGATTTGTAGGTCACCAATTCTGCTGCAACATGAGAACATGAAAATATTGACTGTACATAGGGCACTTACAGAAATGGGGTAGGGGTGCACAGATAGAGATTTTTTGGGCCAATACCAATGGCCAATTTTTAACAAGCCATATCGGATGATACCGATCCAATTGCCAATATGCAGTTCAGCAGCTCGTAGAGCAGCATCCAGCTCGTAAGTCTGTTGTGGGGGAAGAGGGAAAGAAGGGGGGGGTTGCAGACCGAGGCCCCAAGTGAGGGAGGGAGTGGGGCTGGTGTTGGGGCAGAGGACTGAGACAGCTCGTCCAGGGAGGAGGAGGCTCCTGCCAATACATGCACCCCAAGACAACATGGGGCTGTGTGCACCCCAGATGTGTGGGGCAAGGGTGGGCAGCAGCAGCATTGCAATGGAGGGGGCTATGGCAAATTTTGGGGTGGCTGTAGCCCACCCTGTAGTCCCCCTTCCCAGGGCCACCCCTGCCCAGCTCCAGAACAGCCCTGGGCCAGCCAGGAAGAGCCCCTGGCCTCAGCCCACAGCAGCAGCCTGCCCTCACGCCACACAGATCTGAGGGGCACGTGCCCCCCACCCCCTGTGGGGGTGCATGCAGTGGTGGGAGCTGCCCCCCACCCTTCCCGCAACCTGCAGACAAGTCACAGCTCTGTCCCCAGCTGCGCAGCGCCTGCCCAAGCCCCACTCCCTCCCTCCCTTACTGCAAGAGCCTTGGTCTGCCTCACTCCCACACCCCTTCCTTCCCCCTACCCCTTCTCCCCACCCCCCAAACAGGCTTGCCAGCTGGACACCACACTCCCAAGCTGCCAGGCTGCGCTCCTGGCTGCCTGCATGCTGTGCTGCAGCTGTGTATGAATGCAGCATTTATCAGTGACATTATTGGCCACATCAGCCAAAAAAGCCAATTGCTGATAAGGTCAATTTTCTTTTTAAATCGGTGCCAATATGATATGGATCAATGTATTGGTGCACCTCTAACATGGGAGGTTAAAAAAGAAAAGAAAAACAAACAAAAGAAACCAACAGCCAAACTAAAAACCAAAAAACACAGTGCTTTACTGGAAGAGGAAGCATGTTAGTTTGACCTAGCTTGCCCAATACTTATATAGACTGGGCACTTTAGCAGGGCTTTTTGGAGCTTTTATCTAAAACTGACTGAATCAGCTATTAGATAAAAGCTCCAAAAAGCCCCACTGCAGCACCTGATCTATATAGTTGTTGGGCAAGTCAGGTCAAACTAACACAATGCATCTTCTGGGCAAGAACTACACTTAGAGCAGAGGCATGCTGAGCTGAAACTAGAAGCCGGGGGGGGGGGGGGGGCCCCCCCCCCATCCATAAGCAGCCTATATGTACCCACAGCTTGAAGTTACACCTATTACACCTGCAGAAACTGAACAGAGATGGAACAAAAGGAGCTTAGTTTAAAATGTAAGAGCAGGACATCACATAACAGTAATGAGCTTGAAGAAACTTAGTTCCCTGCTTTATAAGTCATAATGCTCTACCAAAAACGAAGAAACAAATAAATAAAGTTCATTGCATTATAAAGAGGAAAATCCCTTAAACAACACTCACCATGGCTCCTCGGTAGTACGCCGTTGTAATTGTACGGAACCTTTCCTGACCTGCTGTATCCCTAGAATTTGGGAAGGGGGGGGAGGGGGGGGGGGGGGGGGGGGGGAAGCAGAGGGGAAGAGAACAAAAACAAGAAACAAAATCACTTGTTAGTTTAACTATTTTAAACTACAAATAATTAAAACAAGTTTTAAAAAAAAAAAAAAAAAACTTACAAAAAACAACTTTATCCCCCCCCTCCCCAAACCATCACCCCTCCCACCCCAAAAGTAAAGAGTATTTTGTACTCCAGGATATTAGGAATAACATAATTTACAAGTTTTATGGAGAAACTTCTGACCTCAAAAAGGTATCGATAATCATTATAACGTGAGAGGAAATAGCATATCATCTCAAACCTATGAGTAAACAGTTACAGTCTCAGTCAATGTGACCTTTTTATGATAGGTACCAAGTAAAGAGATTGTGAACAAGAGCATAGTATTGAACAAAAGCATAGTATGCTTGCAAAAGGAAAGAGAAACTCAACACTCTAAAGCAATTTTCCTGTACAACATACTCACTGATTTGGCTAAGAACCATCAACTTTGTATCAGGGACAGCTATACTCTTAAATTGTGCTTCATGATACGCAACTGTGTGAGGACCAGAAGACTAGACCAGAAGACTATACAGTACCTCTGAATGTCAACTACATGCAGAGAGCACTGAACACTAGAGGTTCGATCCTCCCCCCACCAAAAATATCAGAAAAAAAAAGTCAAAGGCACAAGGTTTATTTACTCAGCCATAGTGATTCAGACTTGTAAAAGTTTTTCATTCAAGAGCCTTTCATCACACATCAACCAAAGCAAATTAAGAACCCTAAATTTTATACATGAATGTATGCTATTTTGTGGCTTGTGTTTGAGGACTATCAAGTTGAGGCAACCAGACTATTCCCTCTGATAGCAGCAGACAGACACCAACTGACATCAGTCCTTCCACTCCTCAAACCCAAGGAGTATTGGCAAACCCTGCTACCCATTTACAAGTAGTCTGGCTGGGCATCAATTCATTAAAAATAAAAAACCCCCCACAAAACATCTCCATGTCAAATCTGACTTAAAAAAAAAAAAAGACAGAAAATTTAATTGCTTAGCCTGATCTGATGCAATTAGTATTTCTCTTGTCTAAAAAGTAATTAAAATATTTTCCCCAACGTCTCATTTTACCAGCAGCATTACAGCCAACATGTGTTAAGTATGAAGAGCGTAGAACCCTTCTACTCAAAAGACGTTGGCAAATACTCGGAGGTTACCTAGAGAGGTTGTGGAATCTCTGTCCTTGGAGGTTTTTAAGACCCAGCTATACAAAGCCCTGGGATGATCTAGTTGGGGATGGTCCTGCTTTGAGCAGGGGGTCAGACTAGATTATCTCCTAAGGTGCCTTCTAACCTTAATTTTCTATGATTCAGTGAAATAGCTAATGAACCAGCATTTGCCAGACACTGTATAGCCTTGCTATTATTAAAGTCACTCCGCTACATGAATTCAATGTGCTATCCATGTGTTAATTCAAACCAACACCAATTAAAGGACTTAATTCTGTTTACACTATTTTGAAACACTCACCATATCTGTAGCTTGATTTTCTTTCCATCTAGTTCTATTGTTCTGATTTTGAAGTCAATTCCTTGGGAGAGAAAAAGATAGGTTAAGTTTAGCAACAAAGGCAAAGGAAACAGGATCCAGTTTGTTCTGGACATTTCGAAAAAACAAAAACAAAAGGTTAAACAAGATTGTGTTAGACAAAAGATTAAACAGGTATTTTGCAACTATCACTTCAGATCACTACAGAGCGATGCAAATGCTCTTTAGGTTCTTGTTGGGGGTTTTTTGCCTACAGAAAAATAGCCATTTTTCTGTTGCAAAAACTAAAAGACCACAACTATGGGTTTCTATTTGAAATCTCTGGGTTTATCTTGTAAATCACATTTATAAACCATCTTAATAACACTGTGTGGCATCCCACAGCACCCTCGAAAAGATCTCAAGGCACCCCACAGTGCCATGGCATCCTGGTTAAGAATCACTGCCTTGGGTTGATCCAGTTGCTCACAAAAGAGATAAAGTACCCACTCACCAGGTCATGCCCCTTTAAACCTCATGATAGCCCACATCCCTCTTCCGCCTTAAAATAATTCATTTGGCTACGGTCAGTTTAAATAAGTCTTTTCCTCTCTCTCATACTGAACAGTTGCCATTTTTCCTCTATTAGCCCTAACTGGAAACTATCTGGTCTCTACTGTCAAGTGTTTATACACAGATAAAAAACCCAAACAAAACAGGAAGCAAAGGAAATAATTGTTTTGGATTGTTATTTGGTAACAGCCTTAAAACGACACATCATTATAGAAACTTGCAATTACTTCAACTTTACCCTAACTTGGGAAGCTGGGAATTTTTATTGAATCAAAATATATTCAGCTGTAAACATTAGTGTGTGATAAATGAGTACATGTAGCATAGACAATATTTGTTGGCGAGAACACATGTTGTCACTACAACAATCACATGAGTATTTTAATACTACCTAAACTTTTGCCAATTACTTTAAAGTGTTATGACTTTAGCTCCAAATCACTCAACCCCAAATCATAAGTGCCTGTTCATGCACTTCTTTTCTGCTAGTTCAGGAACTTGAGGGCCCAAAGAGTCCCAATACTTGCAGGTTTGCTAAATATCCAAATATCCAAAATGGGGGGCGAGGGGACAGGGTGAAGTGAGGAGGAAGACCAAACAAAACAAAAAACACACAACTACCAATAATCCTATTCCCTATATTTCCTCTTTACATTGAGCATACATAGAATATTAAGTGTCTATCATTGTTTAAAGTCATATAACCAGACTGTCCAGTTTACTAGTAAAGCATTTATAACAAGAAAAGGATATGATTTTTTTTTTTTTTGTAGACTAAATGTAGACATTGGATTTATGACACATTATAAGCTGCCTGACATCCGACTCCCCAGGTACCTCTCCGCTATTTAACCACTACATTCATTCTGCCCCCCCCCCCGTACCCTGCCCAGCTCTCACCCACTGACACCTCAATTCACATCTTTACTGACTGCCCATCTTGCATGCATACCAGCCCAGCCTCTGGCTTCTTTACTATTCATTGAATCCAGGAAGAGCACACACCAACTAAAGAGACTCTCTCAGCCTAACGAAGGGTTTTTAAACCCTAAAGCTTGCTTAACATTTTTTTCCAACTATTTAAGTTGGTCTAATAAAAGATATCAGATTCACCCAAAGAACCTTGTCTTAGACCAACACAGCTACAACCTATACAAACACACATACATGGAAATATCAATAAAAAGCAACAAAAAGGAAACTTGTCTTTCAAAGTATACTACTTCAGATGCTGGAATTTAAGCTTAATAAAGCACAATGCAAGAGCTACTCCTAAAAATCTGTATTATAAGAACTGCAATTTGAGTCAGAGAGTTTAAAGTTCCCTCAGCTCTCAGCCTTCATGTTCATTAGAATAAGCATATCAAGTGAAATGCGTTCTGAGACTCATGTGGTTTGAAGATGGTTGCATCATAACCCAATGAAATTAAGACTGAACTGCAACATGTCAGCATAAGCTCCAAATAAGAAGGTCCCTCCTGGGAAGGTCCCCGGAGGAAATAAGTTGGTTGCATAGCCTGTTCATATACATAACGATATGTGCATGACTCCACGCTTTGAGTACATGCTGGCTGCGTTTATTGTTAGGCTTTCCCCAGGCACCACAAGGTGCAACCACCATAGTTTGGCTTGTTCAAAAATCATTGATTCTTCACGCAAAATTGTTCTGTGCAAGCTGACACAAACTGTTGAAAAAGCAGCCACATATAAGTTTATGTTCATTCAAAGTAAAGGAGTGGAAAAGCCAAGTCAGGAAGCACTACTAACCTGTTTCCGTTAAGTACAAGATTATAATTAAGTGGCTGCAGCCTTGTAGAAGTTAAACAGGACTAGTCCCAAAGTTTTGTTTCTTCACTTCAGTAACAGGAAGTGGTGAGCAGCACCCATTTGTAGTACAAGTCAAATGACATACGCTAC